ACTGCTGGTACCGTGCACTCACAGAATGTAATTACCCAGCACGATCTGTTGAGCTGCAAACAGATTTCAGCAAAGAGTGTCAGGGTGTTCACAGCAGAGCTGCTCTTTATTTAGGCCTGGGAACAAGCGGCTGTTCCCTCCCGGAGCCTCGTAGAGACTGCGGGGGCTGAGCCGGCCTCGCAGGTCATCCCGAAAAATGCCTGTAGACGCTTGAAAGTGAGGAATAAATAACTACTCCAAAAACAATCTCACCAGATGGCACTTCTGAAGGAGGAGCAGGCTCGGAGATGCTTTGCTGCTAATTTATGGTGCTGCTGCTGCTGCTATTCCCGTCCTGGGTCACCTATGGAGAGGGATCTGTGTGTGCATCGGCTCCATCACGTGCACTGAGCCCAGCTCACCTTTATCCAGCTGCCAGGGCAGCAGGGGGGGATTTATTGGGAATGGGATTTGGCCCTAATTCTGCTCCTGCCTCAACCTGACTCCTGGTTGAGAACTGGCTTAATATGCCAGTGGTACAGCAAGGGCTGGGGATAGCGGGATGGGTGCAGGGGGTGTTTGGGCTCCACTCTCCAGGGATGTTTGGGTCCCCACAGGGCACATGTGAGTCCCTTCCCTGGGAGATCGTAGGCTCCCAGAGTGGTTGGGATTGGAAGGGACCTCCTAGACCACCAAGTTCCAAACCTGTTCCATGGGCAGGGACACCTTCCACTAGCCCAGGTTGCTCCAAACCCCGTCCAACCTGGCCTTGGACACTTCCAGGGATCCAAGGGCAGCCACAGCTTCTCTGGACAACCTGTGCCAGGGCCTTACCAGCCTCACAGCCAACAATGCCTTCCCAATATCCCATCTAACCCTGCCCTCTGGCAGTGGGAAGCCATTCCCCCTTGTCTTGTCACTCCAGTCCCTTGTCCAAAGTACCTCTCCACTCTCTTGGAGCCACTTTAGACGCTGGAAGGTGCTCTCAGGTCTCCCTGGATCCTTCTCTTCTTCAGGTGAACCCCCCCAGCTCTCCCAGCCTGGCTCCAGACCAGAGGGGCTCCAGCCCTTGGAGAACTTTCCTGACCCACCCCTGCACCCTGACCCCACAGAAGGATGCCCAGCTTCCCTCCTAAGCACCTCTGAGTGGGTTTCCTCTCTGTCGAGGCTTGGATCTCCCTCCCTGCTCGATTCCCCCAAGGACAGTTCCCGTGTTCCCTGCCGGGGGATGCTCAGGCTCTTTCCAGAGCCTGTTCGCGAATCCCCCACGGGAACACGGGACCGGGGCGAGGGGTGCCCGACTTCCCACGCCTCCCCCGGGGCCAACACTCGGGTGCCCTCCCCGGGACCCCCCGTTCCCTTCTCCTTCCCCCGCTGTCCCGGGGACCGCGCCGGGGCGGGAGGCGGTGCCGGTGCCGCTCGGGGCGGTGCGGGGCGGCCCGGGAAGGGGCGGGGGCGGCGGGATGGGCTGGGCTGGGCTGGGCTGGGCACGGCACGGCTCGGCTCGGCTCGGCACGGCGGGGTTCGGCAGGGCTCGGCGAGGCAGCGCGGTCCCCGGAGCCGCAGGTAGGTGCGTGCCCGGCGCCCCGCACCGCGCTCCCGGCTCGGCTCATCCCGGCTCGGCTCCGTTCCGTTTGGCTCGGCTCGGCTCGGCTTGGCTTGGCTCTTCTGGGCTGTGCTGGGCTCGGCTCAGCCCGGCCCGGCTCGGCCCGGCCCGGCTGTCCCCCCGCGGGTGGGCCCGGCTCGGCCGCTTGTTGCGCTCGGGGGGTGAGTTGGAGCCGGAGCGGAGCGAGCGGCCCCGGCTGCAGGAATGCGAGTCATTTCCTCCGCCCGCCCGCGGGAGCTGCGGCACAGCGGGGCCGGGCTGCCCCGCCGGACCCCCCCACCGACCCCCACGGACCCCCACGGCCCCGCCGCGGCCACGCCGGGCACACCCCGGTGCGGGGTGCGCGCCAGGGCAGCGCTCGCCCACGGGACCCCTCGCCCCTGGCTCACGCTCGCCCACGGGGCCCCTCGTCTGTGGGACCCTTCACCCCTGCGTCTCACTTGTCCATGGGGTCCCTTGTCCCTGGGTCACACTCGCCCACGGGTCTCACTCACCCGCGGGACCCTTTTCCCCTGGGTCACACTCCCCCACGGGTCTTCTCGCCTTTGGGACCCCCTTGCTCAGGGGTCACACTCCCCCACGGGTCCCCTTGCCCGTGGGTCACAGTTGCCCACAGGTCCCCTCATTCCTGGTTCGCAGTCACCCACGGGTCCCCTCGGCCCTGGGTCACACTCACCCAAACCCAACATCCCCTCTCCCGTGGGACCTGTCACCCCTGGGTCTCGCTCACCCACAGGTCCTCCTGCCCCTGGGTCTCACTCGCCTGCAGGAGCCCTTGGGTCACACCCACCCAAACATCCCCTCGCCCATGGCACCCCTCACCCCCTGGATCACACTCACCCACCCATCCCTTCACCCACGGGCACCCTCACCCGTGGTTCCCATCATCTCTTGGCTCCCCTACCTGTGGTCCTCTCATCCGTGGATCCTCCCATTTCTGGGTCACGGGCACCTGTGGGACCCCGTTGTCCCTGGGTGCCCCTCACCCCCTGGGGGTGCTGGGGGGTTCCAGCTGCTTCCTGGCAGTGTCACTGATGGTCTGCTCCGTGTTTCTCGCGAGGGGATGCGAATCCCTGCCACGTTCTGGAAGCGGTGGGGATAAATCCATGCCGCTCCTAAATCAGGCTTTATCTGACACCGTGCCCTCGTGGCAGCAGGGAAACCAGGGCCGAGGTTTCCCAGGCTGGAGCTGAGGTTTCCCAGGACCGTGCTTGGTGTTCCCGTGTCCTTTGACTCCCGTGTGGGAGCAAGGCACATCCTGGCCCCTCCGTGCCCCCAGCTCCCCACCACCTTCACTGTCATCTCCCATTCCCGAATCCTCCTTTTTCTGCCCGTGTCCAATGCCCTTCTGGCCACGAGGATGTTTTTCTCCCTAAGCCAAACTCTGCTTTTCCAGAAATAATTTTCCAGAGATGCTTCAGCAATGGCACCGATGGAGCTTTGCTGCTCTCCCTAATTCCGGGCTGGTTTGTGTTGGTGTTTTTCCACAGGGCTCGCTCGCCCTCTCTGATTCTTGGATAGAGCTGGGATTAATTTGAGCTCTCCTGCTTGAAAGCGATGTTCCGTTTAAAATTCCCGATCCCGAAGGCGTGCTGGGTTTTGGTTCTAGGTACTGGATTTTTACTATCGTTTTTTTAAAGGAGTTTCTTTTTTTAAACTGGGTTTATTCAGGCTCTTTAAACCCCGAGTCTGCAAGCAATTATTCCATTACATGAAAGTCAGGACGCTGAGAAAGATTAATTCAGACCAGATGTAAAAATAAATGGGAATTTGAAATTAAGATGATGTCAGTTCCCTCCTGCTAAAAAAAAAAAAAACCCGGCAGCCTTTGGACTCCAGATGGAGTATACAAACCATGGCGCTGGTTAAAATATCTGCCTGCTCCTTAATTGAGTTTTAGGCTGCTATTTTTCCTCCTTGACTGAAAAGTGGGCTCAGGATATTTTGCTGCTGGGGTAGGGAAGTTGATGGAGGCTGTGGAGTGGCTGAGGAGCTTTCCCAGCTGGAAAACTGGAGAGTGGCGCTGCTGGGGGAAGATAAATCCCCCTCTGCCCGCTCCAGGATTAAAAAAATAAGGAACTCGGTTTGGCTTTGTTTTGCTGGATTTGGAGCTGGAGGCGAGGACGCCACGGAGGGCAGCGGGGGCTCCGGATAGTCCAGGCTTGGGTTTGTGTGTTTTGGCTTAAAATGGAGCTGGTTTTTTGGGCTCTGGGCTGTCTGCAGAGCTCTTCACGTCCTCTATTTTTCCTCTCCATGTGCGCCGAGCAGCGTTCCCCGGAGTGGGAATGGGTTTGGGCTCTGATCCCGTGCAGAGGAGTGTGCCTGGGAGCAGGGTGCTGGGAAGGGTTTGCCCGGGGTCAGAGCGTCTCGGGGGTGTGTTATTATGTAAAATGACATGAATATTCATAACCGTGCGGTATGAATATTAATAACCACACAACGTTATTAATTCAATTACATTGTTAATGATATTTAAAATATCATTCTAATTCATGAACGGGGAGGTCCACGGTTTGGAGATTCAGGGCTGTGCTTTCTGTGGTGCAGGGATTTGGGATGGTGACTCTGGCCCTTAGGGCTGCTTTGTGGTCCAGGGATCCCACAGCCAAATCCCCAGGGATTTATGGCAGCTGCTGCTGGTGTGGGCTGCAGCCTCCCCATGGAGAGGGGAGCAAAGGCAATCCTTCACATCCGTGTGCATCCTTCAGTGTGATGCCTGTGGTCCTGGGAGCGGGAATCTGGGAGGTTTAGGCTTGTTGATGCTGGGGGACGGTTCATAAAACTTCTGGGAATGCAGGGGGACAGGATCTGGAGCCGGGGTGTCCTGAGCACGACCCTCCTCGACCCAGCCTTGATATTGTTCTGATCCCAGCGGCTCAGGCAAAGTTTGCCGGAAGGAAATACGATGGAAGGGGCTGGTTCTATAGCAGGAGAGGGAAGAGGAAAAGCAGGCGCCGTCCCTCCCTCGCTGGAGCCCTTGCCAGGAGAAATCCATCTCTGTGTCCATCCTTGGCGGAGGCTGGGACGCTTTATTTACATTGTGGTGCTCCAGAGTAAGGCCATGAAGAGGCCTGGGATGGCTCTTCCTCGGGTTGAATGGAAAATCTGCACTTCCAGGCTGGATTCTGCTCCGTGCACGACGGATGAACGAGCAGGGGAGCAGTTTCCTGAGCTGCCATAGCTTGGCCTGTGTTTTCCTCTGGAATGTGGTGTCCCATGGGGCTTGTCCCCAGCAGGACGGGACAGAGGGGCCATTATCCCGTTTTTGGGATGATGCACGTGGCATCCCAACCACCCGCTCTGCCCATTGCTGTTGTCCCATTGCAGCAGGCAAAGGAGAGGAGGAGGAATGTTGCAGAGGTGGAGACAGCCGAGCTCCTGGGGGAACCTTCCCTGGAGAGGCTTTTCGGATACCCCCAGCACTCGGGGGCATCTGCTGGGGCTGGTGGGGGCCGGCCCCCGGCTGCCCAGGCTGAGTTTCCAGCATCCAAATAGCTTTTGTGGCAGATGAAGTAATGGAATATTTATAACCGAGTCCTTTTTCCCAGTGAAGGTCCCTTTCATCTGCCTCCCTTCATTAGGAGGAAACTGTTGAGTTCATGAAGAATTGGAGACGATTTTAATTACGGGGCAACCGCAAGCAGGAATTAATCTGGCTTTTGGGTTCGGAGAGGCTGCATTAAGTGACGGCCTTAAAACTTGTAATAACAGCTCTGCACATACCTGAGCCCTGTGATGTGGGGTGAGACCCACTCCAAAAGCTTAAAAACCAGAAATTCCTGCCCCGTGAATTCATCTTCCCATCTCCCCCTGCGCCCTGGGCAGCCTCTGGCTGCGGGATGGCCCGTGCCTACGTGTGGGTCCTGTGCTGGATCCCTTCCCTTGGCCCCTCTTGCGGTTCGGGAGGGCTGGAGCAAAAGCCTTGGGGTGTGGGTTGGAATCGTGGGATGGTGGAGTATTTCAGGTTGGGAAAGACCTCTAAGATCGCGTCCAACCTTTCCCCCGGCACTGCAGAGCCCACCACTAATCCATGTCCCCAAGTGCCACATCCCCACATGGCTTTTAAATCCCTCCAGGGATGGAGATATCTTATGGGGCTTTTTTTTTTTTTTTCTTAAAAAATGGATATTTTGGCAAGGAGAGGATGAATTTGGGTGATGGGAAATAGGCTGGATCTGCCTGGAGGCTGCAGATCTGGCTGGGTTGAGCAGGGGGCACTTGTGATCTAGTGAGTGCCACAGGAGTACAAACCTGACCCAAACCCACCAGGAGAGAGACTTATCCACTTCTTTTGAATACATGGAGTGGGAAAAATGCTGCTTGTGCATCAAGCCTCTCCTCATCCATGGAATCTGCGCGCTTGGAGCAAAACCCCACCTCGGCCGACAAGTTCAAACGATGTTAAATCCCCAACCTTGGAATTGCATCCAGATTTGTATTTCCAATGAGAGCCTGTCACGCTGCTCCAGCACCTCCATCTGAACCAAGCCCAGCCTCTCCCTGCCCTCAGTGTTTGCAGGATCCTGGGATAAATAAATCCCTCGCCGAGTCAGCAGCGCCGGCCCCGGCTGCTTTTCCAAGCAGGTTCGTGGCGTGATGTTTTCTTTACAGCAGAGCTTTGTGACAGGATTTATCCCATGGCATCAGTACGAGGGAGGGAGACAGTATTCCAGCAGCCTAGGCTGGAAAACACGGCGGATCAAGGAATTTTCTCTGGAGTTACAAGGGGTTTGCAGTGTGTTCCTGTGGAGTTTCAGTGCTCTTTTCCCTACAGCATGGAAAACGTGGCTGGAAGACCTGAATCTCCTGCAGAGGCTGATCCATGCCCAAGTCCTCGTTCCCAGTGGTTTTTTTTTCCAGCTGGATTTGCTCTCTGAACGGAAAACCCTTTGGAAAACCGCCCGGGGTGGAGGTTCCCACTTGGATTGTGGGATGACCTGTCTCACCCCCTCCGCTGCGTGTCAATCCAGGGGGGCTCTCCCTGCGGTCCAGGATCTTTCCAGCTCGGAGCCAGGAAGGTTGGACTAGATCTTTAAAGGTCTCTTCCAAGCCAAAGCATTCCATGGTTCTCTGTTTGTGCCTCCCATCGACGCTTCCGCCGAAGCAGGAGCGACTCCGAGGGCAGCGGCGCGGGGTCCCAGGGAATCAAAGCTGACATTGTCGGAACGAGCAGCAGATGCTTGGAAAGAATTTGCCGGCGTCTGGCCGAGGCTGCTGGAGGCACAGCACCCTGGAAAGGGCTTTGTGTGTGCCCTCTTGCAAAATCCGTGCGGCTCCAAGTGCTGGCAGAGCCCCCGGGGAAGCTCCTGGAACGGAGGGGGTTCTCCGTAGGGACCATCCCTGTGTGGTCAGCTGATGGAATGTTCTCATTCAGCAGCAGGAACTGGGGTGTTTTCTAAAGAAATACCAAAACGTGTGGTTTGGGGGTTTTAACTCCGATATCCGCGCTCTGCTGACGGCAGCTTGTGGGGTTTAATCCCTGATGCTCTGGGAACAATCCAGGCTGCGGGAGGAGGAGGAAACACAGTGACTGGGGACGAACAGCCCTGGGATGCCAGAGAGTGACAGGACAAGGGGGAATGGCTTCCCACTGCCAGAGGGCAGGGTTAGAGGGGATATTGGGAAGGAATTCCTGGCTGTGAGGGTGGGGAGGCCCTGGCACAGGTTGCCCAGAGAAGCTGCGCCCTGGATCCCTGGAAGTGCTCCAGGCCAGGTTGGATGGGGCTTGGAACAACCTGGGACAGTGGAAGGTGTCCCTGCCCATGGCAGGGGGTTGGAACTGGATAGGTTTAAGGTCTCTTCCAGCCCAAACCATTCCATGCTTCTGAGAGCACCGTGGTGCCGTGGGGAAGCTCTGGGTGGGGGCCAATGCCCGGCAGAGAATCCCGGTGATGGATTCACCACTAACTCAGGAGTGGCTGTAGAGTTCTAAACCGGCTGTAGCCCACGGAGCTGCCGTGGGAAGACGCTCTCATGAATCCACTGGGGCTGCAGGATACCTTTGGATGGGAGCAGGGCACAGAGGGTGCCGGAGGGCGCCCCGGGACGCGGCTGCTTTGCCGGGGACGCGGCTCCTCCTCACCACAACCCGCGCGAGTCGCGTCACGCCCGGCCCCGCGCCGGGGCACGGGAGCTGCCGGGCACGGGGCCGGGAGAGGCCGTTTGCCAAATACCTTCAGCCCCGTTTCGTTCACCGCTGGGGCTTTTGACGAGCCTTGAAAGCGCGCCGGGCGCTGCTGGCTCCGGTCGGGTCGGGATCAATCGTGTCTGGGCACGGCCGGGGATGCTCAGCCGGGGCGCGCAAACACGAGCACGGATGCAACACGTGTCCACGGCATCCGGGGGCAAGGCAGAGCCTCGGTGCGTGGCCACAGGGCACGGATACTGCGGAGAGGGGCCGTGCACGGCCACAACACATAACTGAGGTGTGGAACCCCAGGAGCCACCACCAAAAAAAAAAAAAAAAACAAACAAGGCGCCTCGGGGCACTTCCCCGCTGCACAAACACGCGAGTTCCAGGCTTTCGGAAGCCAAAGGCATTTCCATCTAGACCCGAGCAAATATTTGGTGACAAGGGCGACACTCTGCTGCCCTAGTGCCAGCGTAAACCTGTGGGTTAGGAAAAGGCTGGGCTAGTTTGGAGTTTAAAGGTCCTTCCTCGTGGTGTCACGTGGGAATTTGCGTCCCTGCGGGTGGTGGGTCGTGGGGTAAAAGGTGCATGGGGTCGGCGTTAGGATGGATTCACCAGCTCTGAATGGCGTTTCCCACCTGCAAATCGCTGTTGGTGCTTGGATGGTTTTATTTAACCCCAGCAAAGAGATGGAACTGGAAGGGATGTGGGGGTCCTGTTAGGGGACCCCACACCATCTCCTTGCCTTTCTGCAGCTGGCAGGGAAACCTCCCGCATCCCACGCCGCTCCTTGCCGGCACAGCCGGGTTGCTCCCAGCAGAGAAACTTTTATTTACTTTAAATATGCCAGGAAAGCCTTTCCTGAGGTTTTTCTGAACCCGAGCCTGGGGAACAAAACTGCTGGCTCAGGTTTTTTCGGGCTGGGCCGCGATCCTGCCCTGACCGCGGCGCCGGGCTTGGGACGGGGGGTGGGAGAGGGCTGTGCTCAGGGGTTTTGGGGGGACACCCCGCTTCTGGTGGGGGGAGGGACGTGCTGATGGGTGGGTGTGTGGAGCTGAGGGTGCCACGCACAGGGCTCAGCCCCGCTCTGTCCCGCAGGGATGGCGCCCACGGGGACCGAGGCCGCCCCGGCCCGCCGGTGAGGTGCCCCCCACCAGCCCCCCCGAGCCCAGAGCCCCGAGCACGATGAACAAACTGACCTTCCACAACAACAGAGTCATGCAGGACCGACGCAGCGTTTGCATCTTCCTCCCCAACGACGACTCCCTCAACATCATCATCAACGTAAGGCAGCGTGGGGATGGAGGGGGGGTCTGGGGAAACCCCTGAGCACTGACATTTTCATCACACCCGGGGGCTTGCTGCCATTTGCACGCTCTGCTTTTGCTGCTGGATTTGATTCCCAGCCTGCCTGCCTGCTCTCTCCCTGCCGGAGAAATGCACAGGAGTTATTCCCCCTAAGGCTGCGGCAGCGTTTTACGCTCTCCTGCTTCTTCTTGACTCGGTGTTCTTCTGCTGGCAGCAGCGGGTTTTTCCACGGGTGACCCCCTGCTTGGCATCCCACGGGGTGGCACAAGCCCCCTCCTTCAGCCCTGGCTCCACAATCCATTCTGGATGGCAGTTCAGCTATCGCAGGGAATAAACAGGAGCGGGGTTTGGCTCTTAATTTGGATGTAGCTTGGAACGTGAAATTCCCCCCCCCCCCCCGCTGCCCAGTGTTTCTTTTGGTGCAGGAAAACCTTGAAATTGCTTTCAGTACTTAAAGGGAGCTTGTAAAAAAAGATGGAGAGCGACTTTGTACATGGGCAGATCGTGTTAGGATAAGGGGTAAGGGTTTTAAACTAAAAGAGGAGAGATTTAGATTAGGAATAAATTCTTGCCTGTGAGGGTGGGGAGGGCACAGGTTGCCCAGAGAAGCTGTGGCTGCCCCATCCCTGGAAGCTTCCAAGGCCAGGTTGTTCCGTGCTCGGAGCACCCCAGGCTTTTGGAGACTTCCATGATGACCCCATGGAAAACCGAACCCCACAGCCCAGCCTGTCACCCCCCATCCTCCTCGGGGTTCTGGTGAGGGGTTCGGTGGTGCCTGCCCGGCTCAGGAGGGCACAGATGCAGCCAGGACTGCTCATGGGGTGGGGGCTTTTTTTTTTTTTTTTTGCAGGTGAAGATTTTGTGCCACGAGTTACTGGTGCAGGTGTGTGACCTCCTGAGGCTGAAGGACTGTCACCTCTTCGGGCTCAGCGTCATCCAGAGTAAGTCAGGGGGTGTGTTGGTCCAGCCTGATGCCCTCATCGCTCAGCAAGGAGAGATGCCACCAGGTTTGGGGGGGGAAGCATCCAGAGGGGGTGCACCCAAATTAACCCTTTTGGTGGCCTCGTTAGGTGATGGGGAGGGATGGGGGGGTCAGGGCAGGGCTTGGCAGGATGCAGGACACGTGTAGGGGTGCTGACGCCGCCTCTGTCCCACTCAGACAATGAGCACGTGTACATGGACCTGGCCCAGAAACTCTACAAGTACTGCCCCAAGGAGTGGAAGAAGGAGGCCAGCAAGGTCAGCGGTGAGGTCTTGCATGGAGAGCTGACGGCAGTAAGGCCACCTCTGTCCCCGGCGCAGGTCACTTCCAGGACCCGGGAACGCAGCCTGAGGGGTGTGGGGGGGACACTTAGCCAGTGTGGGAGACGGGGGGTGGATGTGCAAAATGAAGCAAACCAGGGTGGTGGTTGATGGTTGGCGCTCCAAACGCCATTTTTTTTCCTTCCTTCCTTCCTTCAGCAGAATTTTTAAGATCGCTTCTTCTCCCATCTCCCTTCTCTCTGCCCAAAGCACCTTTTCATTATTTCAGTGCCAGGTGCCAAGGGGCCGATGTCAAGGCTCCAGTGCTGGACCTGAGACGGGGACTGGTGGATAATGGCCTGGGAGAGGGGTAGCAGCAGTGGGGGGGGGGGGGGATGCAGCCCCCCCTTGGGGTCTGAACCCCACCCACCTGCTTCTTTAAATCCAAATCCCCTTGAGTTCCAGAGGACTAGGGGGGAGAAATGGGTGTCAGACTCTTAACTGAGGAAAAAAATGCCATTATCGGAGTGAACTCGCCCATGTGGGGCAAGGGGTGGCCTTGAAGGACGTGACCCCCAGAGAGCTGAGGTGAGGGACTGGGGCACAATGCCAGGGTCTCCACAGGAACCCTGAAAATCTCCTCCATTCCAGGGGATCGACCAGTTTGGCCCCCCGATGATCATCCACTTCCGAGTGCAGTACTACGTGGAGAACGGGAGGCTGATCAGGTAGGGTGCACCCCACCCTGTCCCTGCTCACCTGGGCACCTGCTGGGGTGGGTGTGCAGCCTCGGGGTGCTGTGGAATCCTGCTGGCATCCCAAAATCTGAGTGCTGAGTGGCTTCTCCTGCCGCACAGGGGGCAGGTGGGGACACTGCTCCCAGCCAGCGATGCAGAGCCTTTCGGGGGGGGCTGGGGACATCACGTTTAGGGATTTGTTGGAGTTTAACTCAGGGCACAGCCTAATTTTAACTCACCTTTAGGCCTGTGGCCAGGTGGGAGCTTCAGGTCCTGTTTCAGGGACAAAGTGATGTTCAGGGTTTTGGGAACCAGGTGGCATCTGCAGCCCCGTGAGCATACTTTTTTTTTTTGGGGGGGTGGGTTATTCCACCTGGCTGCAGTGCAGATTTACCCTGCTGAATGGGAAAAGTGAGCAGTCAGCCCTGCTCACTCCCTAAGAGATTCCCAGCAGGAGGAAGGTGCTGGAGTGGTCTCCCACCCCATGGTCTTGGCTGTGGGGTACCCTGCTGTACCCCCTAACTCTGCTGCACCTCCTACCCTGCTGTACCCATTAATCCTGCTGTACCCCCTAACTCTGCTGCACCTCCTATCCCCGCTGTGCTGTACCCCTAATCCTGCTATATCTCCTAACCCTGCTATTCCCCTTAATCCTGCTGTACCCCCAGCCCTGCTGCACCCCCTAACCCTGCTGCACCCCCTAACTCTGCTGTATCCCCTAACTCTGCTGCACCTCCTACCCTGCTGTACCCCCTAATCCTGCTGTACCCCTGTATCTCCTAA